GAGAGGAGGGGGAGGCAGGGAGAGAGAGGAGGGAGAAGAGGGGAAAGGGGGAAAAGAGAGGGAGGGGAAGGGGACAGAGGGAGGGGGAGGTATGGAGAGACTGAAAAGAAGAGAGGGGGAGAGAGGGAAAGGGAGTAAAGAGGAAGGAGTTAAGGAGAGAGAGAGGGAGGATTTTACGGGTAACAAATTTACTGGCAAAGCTTGGAGTACAATTTGCCTATTCTGAATAATTCAGTCAGGTCTTGACACTGAGGGTGGTATCACTTCTCACTGCCACGCAGGACAGAGGTTCATATACAAAGGAGATAAAGGTATAGATCATATTCATTAATGGTATAGTTCATATTTATGAGGGTGATATCACTGTTCACTGCCACGTAGGACAGTGGTTCATATATAGTAGAAGTCATAAGTTATTTAATTTGAGGACTAATCAGTGTGGGCTAACAAATTTAGGATAGACTTCAAGAATGTTCTCAAGCACCCCTGATTCGATGTCGTAATTACATAGTTCATGATACAATAAGCCAGGTGGCGTGAAGTCTTTGACAGTGTTACATTCAATAATATAGTGTTCAAGTGTACGCTTAAAAGGTTAATGGAGAGTATGAAAAGAAGGAAGGGGGAAGGAAGGAGAGCAGAAGGGTGGGGAGGAAGGGAAGGGCAGAACCTGTGGTGAACCTTTGAGCTTGAAGAGAATTAGTGTTGAGAGGAGGGTGGAGGGGGAGGAAGGGATGAGGGAGTGAGAGGGTGAAGGTAGAGGGGCTAGTAAAGAGAGAAGGATGTACAATGAAAGGACAGAGGAGAGGGATTGGTAGTGAAGATGGGGAGGGGATATTGGTGATGTCAAAGATATGAAAAATACCACCAAGACCACTCTCTCTCTCACACACACACACACCTCTGACCATATCTACACACCTGTACCTACCTTTAAGAAACAGATAGAAACTGATTGAAATTCCGAGTGTTTCATTCACACCTGAACCTTTGCTGTAAACTGAGACCCAATCTTGGCCCGCCACTTTTACGACCCGCCCTCGCAAGCCCCGCCATAAGGGCTGTATATACACGTGTGTTACCTGCTGATTCTCGACCGTGTGTGGCACTGTGGCACTGGAGAGTCAATAGAGTGCCGTGACTATCTTTCATTGACGTTAGGGCCATAAAGTGCCATACTTGATCTATAGGGAGAGTGTGTGTGGGGTATGATGATGATGATGATGATGACAATAATAATAATAATAGTAGAGGCCATGATCATGATAGTAATAATGATATCAGTTATAATAATAATAATATTGATAATTATATGAAGGTATAAAATTTATAATAGAAATTGATCATAATTAATAACAAAAATTTTTTTTTTTAATTATTGTTGTTGTTATTATTATTATTATTATTATTATTATTATTATTATTATTATTATTATTATTATTATTAGTGTTGGTGTTGGTGTTGTTGTTGTTTTAACAATATTACTAACAGTAATTGTGACAGGAATAATAATAAATAGTAATTATAATCATTCTCCCATCCACATTTTTGCTTCTTTATTTTCCCTGCTCTATTTCTTATCCTCCTTCTCCGCCAACCTCTTTCCCTCCACCCCCCTTTCTTCTGACCCGTCTTCCCCTCCCTCTTCTCCCCCCCCCCCCTCCCCCAGCAGAAAAAGGACTTCCGAGCAGGACCTCTGACCCAGGAAGACAGGCTGTGGTTCCCTGGTCCTGCTGCTCCTCCTCATCTAGGAATATAAGTATCCTTCCCTGTCCCTCCCCCTCCCCCTCATTTTTACCTCTTTCCCTTTTTCCTAACCTACCTTTCCTCGCTTCCCTCTTTTTTCTCTCCTTTCTGTCTTCCCCTTCTTTCTGTCCTCTCCTCTGTTTTGCCATTCCCTCCTCTCTTCCCTCCCCCTCCTTTCTTCCCTCCTTCATTTCTTCCCTCCCTCATTTCTTCCCTCCCCTCCTCTCCACCCTTCCCTCCTTTCTTCCCTACCTTTATTTCTTCCCTACCTTTATTTCTTCCCTCCTTCATTTCTTCCCTCCTTCATTTTTCCCCCATCCTTTCTTCCCTCCCCTCATTTATTCCCTCCCTCCCTTTTCCCCCTGCCCCTCCTTTCTACTACCATCACCGTGCTCCCTTCCTTTCTTTTTGCTCTCCATTTTCCTTTTTTTTTTACCATGTTCCTCCGGCTTTCCCCTCCTTGTACCTTTCCTCTCCTTGCGCCTTCCCTTCCACCCTCTTTCCTGTCTATTTAACTTTTCCATTTAACCCCCTGTCTTCCTTGGCCTTTCCTTCCTCCTTCCTCCCTCCCTTCCCTCTTCCCCTTTCCATCCCCTCTTCCCCTTCCTTCTCTCTTCCTTTCCATCCCCCTTCCCCCTTTCATCCCCTCATCCCCCTCCTTCCCTCTTCCCCTTCCATCCCCTCTTCCCCTTCCATCCCCTCTTCCCCTTCCATCCCTTTTCCCCTCTCTTCCCCTTCCATCCCCTTTTCCCCTCCTCTTCCTTTCCATCCCCTCTTCCCCTTCCATCCCTCTTTCCCCTCTTTCCCTGTCCCCCTCCTTCCCTCTTCCCCTTCCATCCCCTCTTCCCCTTCCATCCCCTCTTCCCCCTTCCATCCCCTTTTCCCCCTCTCTTCCCCTTTCCATCCCTCTTCCCCTTCCATCCCTCTTTCCCCTCTTTTTCCCTGTCCCCCTCCCTTCCTCTTCCCTTTCCATCCCCCTCTTCCCCCTCTCTTCCCTCTTCCCCTCTTTTTCCCTCTTCCACTCCGTTCCTCTTCCCCCCTCCTCCTCATCTGGAATGGTAAGAACCTCGCTACTTCTTTCTTACGCATGGCTGGGATCTCGATATCCTCCATAAAGGTCCAGTACAGTCCCGTCCCGTCCCGTCCACACCACACGACACCAGTCCCGTCCACTCCACCCGTCCACTCCACACCCGCCCTGTCCACACCCGCCCTGTCCACACCACGCCCTATCCAGTCCTGTCTTGTCCACCCGTCCACTCCACACCCGCTCAGCCCAGATGCTCTCACTGTTATTGTCTCTACTATTCACCCAAAAAAAGATAAAAGCTTAAAAAAGAGTCGGTTTCATAGTCATATTTTAGCCGTAAACCCGTTAAAAAAAAGCATGTGAAAAAAAAATCCTCTAAACTCGGTATGAGGCGTGACGTCACAGGAGGAACTCTTGAACAATAACAAAAAGGTTTAGTGGAAATAGTGTAATGTGACGCTGGTATAAATATTAGTTGATTTTATTTGTTACAACTTTATAAAACGTGAATGTATGCTAGAAATTATAATTAGGGACACGACAAATAAGGAGTGTGTGATCATGTTAATTGAGGGAGAGAGACATACACTAGTCCATACACTTATAATGATGGTTGCCAGAGGTCTGTTTGTACAACACTTATGTCGTGTTAAAATGTATTGTTAGTTATTACGATTTATTTAACATTAAAGCTTGAAGTTACATAATATGATTTACTGTTAGGATATTCTGTTCCTGCCCATCTTCCCTCCCTCCCACCCACCCACCCTCGCGTGATGTCACTTACAATCTGGGAAAATCTGAGACTTTATGAGGCAGTTTGTATTTTTCATTGAAATCGTGAACAAAGAAGTAACTGCATAATATTAATATTTTTTTTCAAATGGAAAATATCATATTTCTTAACGTCGAAACCTGATGGTGACATAGACGCAGTTTTGGTCTGTAGAGTTGTTTCTTAACTAATAATACCGGTACTTGCAGGGGGATGCCCAAGAACACACACACTCAAAAATAACTCACACACACACACACTCACTCACACACACACACGCACACACACACACACACACGCACACACACACACAAACACACACAAACACACACACACACTCACACACACAAACACACACCATATAACCCTAAATATGTTCATATACACCCTCTCTTTGGTGAGTATATGTGTATGTATGTGTATGTGTGTGTGCAGCTTGTGTCAGTGGATAACGCCCTTCGCATAATTATCCGACTTTAAGCGAGAATCGAACTCGGGTTGTAATGGTGAGAGGCAAGCACGTTATGGCTGTACTACCGATGTTTATAATATTTTGTATGTGAGCTTAGGAATCTGCCTCTGATATATACAACAGTAAATAACAAGGTACTTATGACGTGTTTATGTAAAGAATAAACTGTTTATTTTTTCTCTCTCTAGTTTATATAGTAATGAATAGTATTTCTTTAACTCTATTTAGTTTATATGAGCATAAATGACTTGTAATATATTCCCCGCATCTAGTTTATATACAAGAATAAACAGCGTGTAAGATTTAGTTGTAGTGCGTCTAATTTATATAACAAATCCCGAGCATCACTGACATTACACAGCCTCTGAGTTCCTCGCCGCCAACACAGTGTGGGAACAATTATAAAAGGAAATGTGAAAAGAAGCGGGGACAAAAAAAAAGAGTCGTACATGAAAGCGCCCAAGAGAAGAGGAAAGTGGTCGGAATTCACAGAAAATGACCGACAGGGTGGAATGACACGATCCATTGTTCACATGCTCGGAGGTTACGTTAGGTTAGGTTAGGTTATTCTCAGAGGGTCTCACGTTGGATATTCCTCGTAATTGTAGATGTAAGAACGTACTTAACTGGTGAAGTACAAAAAAAAATACACTACAATTCTTGATTTGGGAAGTAGGATCACCCGAACGACTAGCTCCCTGTTAATTTCATCTTAAGACTAACATAACATAACATAGCATAACATAAACACTAGTTACAAGACTACCGTAATATTATCATCAGAATGTTATTTAGTTAAAGTGTCTAGTTAGGGTAATGTGTGTAATTTTAATGTCATTCACGGATGTAATTGTTGTGTTTTGGCCGAAGTTAACGAATCGGGTAGATTCTTATGTTGATGGTATGAACCTTTTAGGGAATATGTCCCTTGAAGCGACCGATAAGAAAACCACATTGTTTGGGGTTAATAGAATACAGGAAACAATCGTAATTATAGTGGTGGTGGCGGTGGTGATGGCGGCGGCGGCGGCGACGTCGGCGACGGCGGCGGCGACGTCGGCGACGGCGGCGGTGGTGGCGACGGAGGCCGTGGTTAGGAAGTACGGTAGCTGTCGGGAGAGAGAAATTTTAAGTAGAAAAATACATAAAATCCCTATACATCAATGAAGGTCGCGTGTCTTAACAGCTCGGCATTTAAGTAGCGGAAATATTTTAAAGGATAAATTATATAGATAAATTTATACACAGGAAATGGTTTCATTGTTATTTAAAATGGAGAATGAAACTTATTTCATCTAAAGCTTAAGCAGCCTAACTTTACCTAACCTAACCTAAACCTAACCCCCAGGTAGCATTAGGGTTGGTTAATCTTCAAGTAATCCGGCTTGTAAAAAAAAAACAGAACGTTAACTTACACATAATTTAATCGCTATCAGAATGTCTTAATAGCAATATGGTGTTACTCATCAGACATCAGCCATAGGACATTTCAATATTCAGATACCAGTTGTGTCCTATCAACTGAATGAGAGGAATGGAGTGGGTAGTCTTATCTTGAGTGGTGGAAGGCTTACCGACCCACACCCTCGCACTGTGGTATTTTATGAACGTTTGGGATTGAGGGAGGGAGGGAAGGTAGAAGGGAGGGAGGGAGGGAGGGAGGGGGTGTAAAAAGGACAGAGGAAGGGAAGGAAGGAGGTGGAAGGTAAAAAATAGTAAGAGAGGTGGAAGGGATTTGGAAAGATGCGGAGGTGAAAAAGAAGAGAAAGAGAGAAGTAAGGAAATGAGGAAGAGAGGGAGGAAGGTTAGAAAGGAGCGGAGGTGGGATGGGAAAGATAGTAGGATGTGAAAAACGAGGGAAAGAGGAAGGCAGAAAATAGAGGTGATGATAAAAAAAAAGGAAGGAGGCGAGGAGGTAGTAGAAATGGTAGAAGAGAGAGAGGGAGTAGTGATAAGGATGAAGCAACGAGAGAGAGAAAGAGGGAGAGGGAGAGAGAGAGAGAGAGATAAAAAGCGAAAGTACACCACACTACAAAAACCAAGCCCGGAGGTAATTGTTTGGAGGGTAAGTGATGGCTGGTCGGCCCACCTTCATTATGGACAACAATGACCGACCTTTGACGGCCACACAACTAAACACCACCGCGACAAATACACTGATGTACGTGTGGAGGAGGGAGGGGGAGGGGGCAGTGGTGGGGGAGAGTTTGGTAAATGTTAGTGTGTGGGGGTGAAGTGTGTGGGTGGGTGTGGGTACTGGTAGGGAGAGTGAGGGTGTGTGATGGTAGTGGCTGGTGGGGTGGGTAGTAAGTGTAGGGGAGTAGGTTTGATATTGATAGTGAAACAGTTTATTTATCCATAAAAATACAGACACAAAGTGAACAATAACAACAACACTGACATGGGTGAGCCTGAACCCTCTCAGTGGCTCCTGTTATATACTGTACATTTATCTCAAGGAATTATTATATAACATTTAGTATCATCTGGATCACTACATGTTACAGGGTGTTGGTAAATACATATTAGAATGTTACCAAGTTTATTATAAAAAAAATATTTGTGGTAGGGATTAGGGAGGGAGGGGAAGGGAGAGGAGGGGTGGAAACTTCTAGGTAGGGGAGTGTATGTGAGTGCGTGTGAAAGAATCACTTTTCTCTTCTTATTTTCTCCTGTCCACTCTTCCCACCCTTTCTCTCTTTTCCTCCCTCCATCTTCTCACTCCCATTTCCCACGTCTCCCTCTCTCCTGCCTTCTTTCCTTCGCCCCCCCCCCCTCCACCTCCCCTTTCCTTCCCTCCCCTACGGCCTGAACACGACGGAGGGAGAGAGAAACTAGAAGGAAACAATGTGGTGAGAGTTTTAGAGGCGCGCCATTTTGTCGTCGACACAAGTTTGTAGGAAGTTAGTAAGAGGGAAACAAGTTAGAGGCTGGGCAACATGACCACAAGAATGGGCATTAAGGACCTGGAGGAGAGGGGAGGGAGAGTCAGAGGGGGGGGGGGTCAGAGAGAGGGATCAGGGGAGAGGTGGAGAGGAAAGAGGATGACTTACATATTCCATAGTTTCATTTACTTTTATTCTCTTGAAACACACAAGACGTTTTTATCGTGGCAGCTCAATAGCCGCTTTTCTGACCTGAGTGAAATTGTTTATCGGATGTTACATTGTTCAGTATTTATGATGTATTGCCTCAACAAGTCTATTTCAAGAGTACAAAAATTAATATGTTTAGTTTTCTTTACATCTTTAAGGAAAAATGTACTGTATACTGGCGGCCTGGGTAAGGCAGTGTGGATATAATGTACTGTAGTTCACCTGTGTAATTAGGCAGCCATTTATAACTAGGTGAACTGGGGTTGCCTTCGGCGTGAACCATTGAACCTGAGGACAGGAGGCGAGCGTTATATTCTGTTGGCCGCCCCATCCCTTAACTACTGGCAGCAAAGGACCAATGCAACTCAAATACTCTGTAACATTCATTGCCATAATATAAAAATAACTGGGGTCTGATGAACACCCTTTGTGGCCTGTACTCTGTAAACCTTTTTCGCTACTGTTCACTGGATAAGAATGGGGTACACAATAAACTAGCTGCTGTCCGCGGCAAATTTACAAAAGAAACACACACACACACACACACACACACACACACACATGTAATTAACCCATTTATATAATCTTTCTGTTGATGAAACAGGGGCCATTACATCAGGGCCATTACACACACACACACACACACACACACACGAGATGAAGAAACACAGCTCAACTGCCTTAGTGAACTCGTTGTTGCATCACCGTCAGGGAGTAGCTCGTTAAGTCATTACTACCACGACGGTATAAAATATTACACGAAAGAAATACAACCTGACGACGTTGAAATATAAATTGTTACTGATAATGTTCCTTAGCTGAAAGTAATTGTGTTCGATACAAGATGTAATGAGGTCAACATTCTCTAACTAGACTCTTGGTAATATCTAACAACTACAGTTTGGGGTCATGTATTACCTTAAGTAGATACCAACTATTACTAATCATGTCAAGAGAATTTTGTCCATAACCGCACGTGATGTAAGTACGGGGTTCATATAAGGTGTTGACAGTGGTCGCTTTTAGTGTTTCAGTTTAAAGTTATTTGTCTTTTATTTTATCCCTTTCTTTTCTCTTCGCTTCCCCCCCTCTCCTCCTCCTTTTCTTCTCTTCCTCGTTTTCCCTCTTCTTCACTTCTCGCCTTCTCTTCTCCCTTTTCTCCACCCCTCTCCCTCTCTTCTTCCCCTTTCCCTCCTCATATCTCCCTTCCCCTCTTCTCTTCCTTACCCCTCTTTTCCCATTCCTTCACCCTTTTTCTCCACCACTCTCCACCCCCTTCATCCACCACAACCTCTCCACCACCCTCCCTCCACCACAGCCCCTCCATAAATAAGCCAGTTGTATCAGCACCACAAAGTAGGTATGTGTGTAAGAGTGAGGGGATGTGCCAATAACACTTCCCCTCACTCTTCCCCATTTCCTCTCTCCTCCTCTCCTCTCCTCTCTCTTTCTCCTTTCTCCTCCTGCCCTCACTCACCCCTTAGTCATCTTTCCTCCTCCTTTTAACCCTCTATCTTTTCCCCTCTTTGCTCTCTACTTTCTATCTCTTCCTCTAACTTTCTTCCTTTTTGCTCTCATTTCCGCTACGCCCCACCTGGCTGATAATTGATTGATTAAGTGGCTGGCTGGCTGACTGACTGACTGACTGACTGACTGACTGACTGGCTGGCTGGCTGGCTGGCTGGCTGGCTGGCTGGCTGGCTGGCTGACTGACTGACTGAGAGAACTTTCATCACTCCCTCTCGAGCGATGAACATTTTCAGTTTAACAACTTTATTGGCAAAGCTTGGAGTACAATTTTCTTATTCTGAATAGTTCACTAAGGTTTTGACACTGAGGGTGCTATCATATACAGTATAAGTCATATTCTATTTGAGGACTGAATCAGTGTGGACTAGTAAATTTAGGAGGGACTACAAGAATGTTCTCAAGCACTCCTGATTCAATGTAGTAGTTACATAGTTCATGATACAATAAGCCAGGTGGCAGCGTCACATTCAATAATAAAGTGTTCAAGTGTATGCTTAAAAGGTTTATCACAAAGTTTACATGCTGAGTGTTCCGGTATGGGCACTGAGTCACTAACTTGCCAGATGTGTCTGTATCCTAGCCTAATTCTGGCCACGACTACATCACATTGCTTGGTTCTGTCCTTGTGCTGGCCATACCGGAACCTCTTGTCACAAAATTTGTCATATATTTACTGATGCCACAACTACCAGGTCTCTGCATTTCTCAGTTCTTCTAAATCCTAGTTCATGATTTTGTCTTGTATGTTTTTAAGTACAGCATTGGACAGGCCAAGGTCCCGGTCTACATGTTCTTTCTTACTTGCCTCATTGGCCAGTCTATCAGCACAGTCATGATTCCTAATTCCAACATGGGACGGAATCCACACGAATTCAATACGAAAGTTGTTCTCCTTAGCAGTTATCACATTTATTTTTAATATCATAGACAGCTTTAGACATTGAGGCTGATGGTCTGTTCATCGATTTCAAAGCGCTTTGGGAGTCACAGAATATCACCCCACCTCCATTTTCTTTAAGGTAGTCTGTTCAGTTTGTGTTGTGTTGGCCCAGTTGTTCAGCCTTTGTTTGTTTGACACTATCATCTCTTTTTCTTTATATATTACAAATGCACAGCCTGTTCTACCTGTGTTTGTCTGCACAGAACCATCAGTAAAAGCATAACATTCACTTGATTTAATAAGCTCTATGTGACTGTTAATAATATCTAGTGTAACACATCTCACCACATTAGTGTGTAACATTTCCTTACTACCAACAGGAGTGTAATTAATAGGAACTGATATATCCAGCCAAGGAGGAATGGCATTAATAGGTTCGTCTGGGGTGATTGGGACATTCAGTTTCAAGAGATCAGTAACACTTTTATGAAGCCACGCCCCATAAAGAGTCTTTTGTGGAACGTTGGTGAGATTTCGGGATTACTTAGATAGAATATCATTTTTTTCCTTCAGTTTCTTCTTCTTCTGCTCTGCCTTACCATGC